CAAGATCATTGGCAGACGACGCCCATGGGGTAAGGCTTCTCAACTATAATGTACTATCTGTACTTGTTAAAAACATATACGATCACGTAACAAATCGATGCAATATGTCCAACATATCAAATAACAAATATCTCGCCATCTGTTCAGGTCTGGTTGTTTAATAATTACGTTGTTTACAGCTATAGCTTTTTTAACCGATTCCTATTTAAAAACGGTTCTCAATTCGACTATCTTTCTTTTCTTTTTTTTCCTTTCTGTTGGTTGTTCGATTTTCAAAATTTTATTTTATTCGTTAGTTTCATTTTGATCTCATTTTTTAAAATAATGTCCAGTAGTTTTTTTTAGTTATCTTTACTGTTATGAGAAAAAAAATTGTATTTTTTTATTTATGTATTTGATGCACGCAAAAAATACTGGACTGATTTAAAAAATCTTTTATCATTAGAAAGTTAATTTTTCTATGAGTAACATAGGCTATAGTTTGTAATATTTTTAAATTTCACTCGAGCGAACTAGCGAGCAACAGCTAGTTCTTAATAAAGAACTACACAGCGCTAGTCTTATTTTTATTATTGAAAGTAACATAAATGTCAGTGATGTAATCAATAAGGTCCATACAAGAGTTTATTCCATGCAGTATCCTATTGGATAAAGGCAATACAAAGCACACGAAATGGGTCGGGCACAAAGCACTACCTGCCCCACCGCACCTGTCACCTGTCGCACAGGTAGACTATTCAACACGGGTGTGGACTTCCGATACGCCGTTCATGTTAAAAGCAGAAGCGATTTTAGTTTTACTAAACCTGTAAAACTTTTTTAATAGACAATCTTACTAATATAAATGTTTAGATGGACGTTTGTTTGTTAGAGTTTGTAGCCTTAACGACTGAACTTGATGAAATTTAGCATAGGCGTAGACGATAGACTGGAAAAACACATATGCTAATCATTTTTTTTAGTTCCACGGGGACGGAACCACGGGCGAAAGCTAGTAACTTAATTATAGGGAATTCAGAGAGTATTCCTCGGTATCCCTCGCGGATGGGGGACCGCCCAGGGCGTAAATACAGGGATGCCACAGCTAATTACTCTCTCCTAACAGTTATCAAGTCATGGTAAAATGACGGCGTGGTAGAAATATTGCCCAGGGCGTTAGTTAGCTAAACAGCTGTCTTCTTAATATTCGAATTGTCTTAATTCTTTATCTAATCGTTTTAACAGTTAGTCACGGCTTGCATAGATATGGTTCTCGATAAAAGAAAAATTAGATAAAATTATCACATACTTTATCTGATATTAAATGTAATTTAGTTATTCAGAATTTCGTTGACAATAATATCGATTTAAATTCAAGCATGAATATGAATGTACAGAGGGTCTATCATGTATTTGTGGGACAGTTTTGAAAAGGTTTTCGTAGTCATAAAAGTTTGAGATTGATTAGTGTGCTTTATGCCCGGTAGGGGCGCTGCACAAATATAATATAAATTTTGTTGATGGTGGTATTCTTTCTGCTTGGATTGTTGGTTGAATTTTAATTTAATTTTGACCGCAATCATTTATATAGAAAGCGTATTGATGGAAATCAAATGGAGTGTGAAATTTAATGTAAACTTGACCCCGATGACTATCGGAAACGATAGATGGCGTTTTTATTAATCAAATAAATTTGAGGACTTCTTCACGCTAGATGAAGAAATATTAAAAATAGGGTAAAAGCAAATCATTTTTCATATTCTAGAAGAAGAAGAAGTAAACTGCCAGCGTTTATTTTTAATTTAAATTTCGTTTTTACTTAATAATTGTTTAATAACCACGTTGATGTCCTTAGTAATATTCAGTAGCCGTCAAAGAGTTAAAACATGTGTTTAGCTATATGTTTGGGATAATGCCGCTATCGTTGACTCTATTTTTCCGAAGAGAGTGAATGGGACAACATATAATTTTATACAAAAGTATTGGTACATACTGTGAATGGACGTCAATAAAATCGTCAATCCAGTAACCGCAAACATCGCGGCCAAGTCATTGCATTGTGACGTCAGCAATCGTTTTATTGTAAACTGTAATGCTCTGAGGGCTTATCATGAACGTATTCGTAGTTACATCCACAAAAATGTATTAGATTTGTTCAGCGCCTCTACTTCTCTAATTTCTCGCAACTGTCACACAAATTTTCGTGATAGCCCTACGTTGTAATAATATTCGTAAGTCCATTCGCTGTGTTCGGGATTTTATATGACTTAAAGTATAGCTATATTAAGCGGATTCTCTAAAATGACTAGTTACCCTATCTTGTATAGACATATTAACTGCGGCTTTTCATAAGGAAAATACCCATGTTATATGAATATTGTCCAATCATGTCCAGTATTTAAAACAAAATTAGAAATTTTAGGATTAAAGCCTCATATGTATTTGTCTCTCATAATTCTTTAAGAGATTCCATTATTCTTTGTGATTTCTCTTTGTAACTTACCCGGGATTTCGTGCGGCAGTTGCGCGGGAATGAATTTTACATTTGACTGCGAGCACTTGATCCTAGAAGCTCTTAATGTTAACGTTAGGGTGACCACAAGTTTGAACTAAGATTGAAAAATATTCTGCAGTTTTAAATGTAAATGTGTAGAAACTTAAAGAAAGTATAGGGAAGTAATGGAATATTTTTTATTTAATATACATTTTAGTATTTTTAGACTCCATGATTTATCGGAAAAATATTAGGCGAAGCATGTCAACAATGAATAACTAAAAAAAATGTAGGTTTACTTGAGTTTATCTATGATTCCGCTGTTTTAATTCTACTTGTAAAATTTTATCAAATAACATTTAATAAATACACTTTACTCGAAGCTAGGTTAGTTTCCGTGCCTATTGTAGCACTTTCTCGGCGTCGAGTTTGCAATAAAAGTAAGCCTGGTGCTAGGGAATTAGTCGTCATTATTTGCTTTGTTAAACAAAATCTCTGCAGAAGCCTGGAGTAAATAATCAGGCATTATCAACCATTTTGGAGGAAGACGGCGTCATTTCAATGAACAGGTTTTTTAAATAAGCTTCTAAATTTCATTCTTTCTTAATTTACAATTTACGTAATTAAAGTAACTAATATATGTTAAATTTACCTAACATTGCAAGTTTACTGGAAAGTTAAATTGCTATCTTAGTTTAAAGTTTTTTTTAACATCTATTTTTTTTTAATACCGCGTAGACAAATTCGCGTTCATAAACTAATACAAAAACGATTACATCTAATTTAAGAGATCATTCCTTCCGTGTAAGCAATTCAAGATGGTTCAATACAGTACAGCACGGACACGCGAGCGGCTACAAAAAGCGTATATTATTCGTAATTACAAAAGCCGTTACGTAACCGTCGTGCGTGACGACCGTCTCGCAGTTTCCTCTCTCACTAGTAACGTTAATCGACAAGAGTTACTAGACGTATCAGCTCTGAATAGATCCAAAAGATCCGCTCACGACCTTTAATTTCTGAGCTGCAGCTCAAGTAAATTGTATCATAACTATGGAAGATGATGAGTCGCGAATTTCTCGGGGTCTCGTACCACGCAAATCATATCTTTATGCAGGTAGGTGGTATATGAGTTGGCTCACTGATTTTCACTCATGCGATTCGTGAGCGGATCTACAGATCATAGAATTTAGACGAGTTACATGATTTAAGATGCAACCCTTTTCGTTGCATTGGTCAACTTGCTTAGTTGTAATAGGATGAAATCTTACAAATTAACGGTTTTGGTTTTTTGCATGAAAATT